TTCATTTCATTTCATTTCATTTCATTTCATTTCATTTCATTTCATTTTTCTTTTTTCTTTTCTTTTCTTTTCTTTTCTTTTCTTTTCTTTCTCTCCTTCTCCTTCTCCTCCTCCTCCTCTTCCTCCTCCTCCTCCTCCTCGCCTCCTTCTTCTCCTCCTCTTCCTCCTCCTCCTCCTTCTCTTAAGTAGGCTTCACACCAGCACAAAGCCCAATGCAGACCTTGAACAGGACCCTGAGATTAAGACCTGTGCTGAGATCAAGTCAGACGCTTAACCGACTGAGCCACCCAGGTGCCCCTCGATTTTCACTTCTTAGCACAGAAAGATTTGTAAGCTTTACTGCTTCTGGGAATTCACTGGGCCAGAGGAGGTGCCCCAACACCCTCAGATCACCAGGAACTAATTACTTGACACCTCAGTGACTCCTCAGTGTTCTCTGCACTGGACAGAGAAGGATATCGCTCTCTGCTCAGTCATTAAACTCAGTAAGTTTTCTCTGTCTCTAAAATAAACATTAAAAAAAAATTAAACTCAGTAAGTTTTTTTTCTTAATTCTCCACTATTACAACCACCTCATTTGAGCTTAGGGATAAGAATTAAAGGTACTAAAGGGCGCCTTTAGTGGCTCAGTTGGTTAAGTGTCTGACTTCGGCTCAGGTCATGATCTCGCGGTCCATGAGTTCGAGCCCCGCGTCGGGCTCTGTGCTGACAGCTCAGAGCCTGGAGCCTGCTTCCAGTTCTGTGTCTCGCTCTCTCTCTGCCCCTCCCCCACTCACACTCTGTCTCTCTCTCCCTCTCTCTCTCTTTCTCAAAAATAAATAAACATTAAAAACAAAAGAATTAAAGGTACTAACAAGAGAACACACAGCAAAGACAAAGTATTTCTTTTTACATAAGGAAGCTATCTAATAAATGAAATCAATACTACCAAGAGTTGCCGGCGGCCTTTCATTTTGAAAACAGGAGTTCCCAGAGAAGAGACGAGGATCTAACTTTCTCTCTACCATTAAGGTCCACAACTGTAACTCCCCACGAAAGTATCCCTGACCCCTTGATCCTTCCTTACCAGATCATCATGTCCCATCCAGCTCAAAAGCTAGATTTACTATCTTCTGCTGGTCTCTTGGCTATAGGCTGTTAACACCCTACCCTCCTGTAGATGTTTGTATACTGTGGAAAGAAGATCAAATTTAATTGGAAAACTAGATGGTTACACAGTATGTGTGGCTAGGTTCGGAGGGGTGCCCCCTTGGCTCTCTGAGGAGAGGAGGAGGTCATCACCCCAGAAGCCCACACATGGCAAGGTCTGATCTGACCCCTTCCCAGAGTGCCCTGGGAGGCAGCCAACGGTGAGCTGTGGCAACAAAGAAAAGTGCTGGCTTGGGGACAAGCAGGGTGTCATCGTAAAGAGGATAAGGGATGAGTCCTCAAGATCCCAATGATGGGGCTCAGGTTAGGAACCTGAACCTGCTAATAAAGAAAAAATGGAAACAAGAAGGTTTGGTTCAAATACAAGGCTGCACCCAGGGAGGCATGTTCAGTACTTACTTTTTGAATGGCATTTGTGTTCCGAGACTTTGATGCCCTTCCCTTCAAACAGATCAGACTTCTCATGGTTACTGAATCATTTGCTTGGAAGGATTCCACGTCCCTCCAAGTGGGCTGACCCTTGGTACCCTCAGTGAGAAATACTGAATGTATCACTGCTCCTTTCTTGTTCTCCTTGTTCTTAGTGATGTCCGTTGTCCTACAGCTGGTATTCTTAGTAACATGTCTGTGTGCCTAGGTAGAAAGATCAAGAAGGTGGAAATTGTGAACAGTCAGAGGCAAAGGCAAGAAAGACATTTTCTATTTTATCAAACTATAAAAACCAACACCTCGGTTTCCACTCCCAAAGCATAAGGTGTGTGTTTGAAGGATTTTTTTTAAAAGACGGGAAAAACAGGGGCACCTGGGTGGCTCAGTTGGTTGAGCTTTTGACTTCGGCTTAGGCCATGATCTCATGATCTCATGGCCCCATGTCGGACTGTGTGCTGACAGCTCGGAGGCTGGAGCCTGCTTCGGATTCTGTGTCTCCCTCTCTCTCTCTCTCTCTCTGCCCCTCCCCTGCTCATGCTCGCTTGCTCACTCTCTCTCCCCTTTAAAAATAAATAAGCATAAAAAAATAATAAAAATAAAAGATGGGAAAATCTTGAGCAAATTTGTCATTTCTGTGTATGCTGGCATTTGCTGTTTCTCTGCCTGGAGCACCACCACACCATGCACACGCACACACACATGCACACACACACACACACACACACACACACACATATGCACACGCACACACTCCTCCCTGCCTGCCTCACTCCTCTTTAGCTTTCAAGTATCCCTGCTTAGTCTTCTCAGAATCCCAAGCCTGAGCTGGGTTCCCCCTCTTAGCCGCTCCCATAGGACCCTGCACCTCCTTCAGCACAACACCTATATGATGTAGTAATCCCCTCACTAGGCTAGAGCTCCATGAGGGCAGGGACCAGATCTGGCTTTCTTAGAGTTCAATCCCCCGTTCCTGGAATGGCACTGAATAAGTATTTGTAGAATAAATGAATTCTGAGGAGTCCGTATGAGCCTTTTCTTCGTATGAGCTGTTTGCTGTTTGTCTGAACAATGTCTGCTGAGTATGGTGGCTCAGGCTGTGCACTGTACGGGACGTCCAGCCCGGTCGGGAGGGGAGGCTGAAATCCAGCTCGCATTCTCATCGCCTGGCCATTTTTCGCTGACTGTATCCACCCGGAGGAAGAGATGCCTTTTTCTGATCTGTACGATGGCACCATACGCGCTTTCAGCCGGGCAGCTCCAGAGAAACACATAGCGTCTTCAAAAGGAAGGGAGCGTCCTCTCCTTTGTTCCTAGAACGGCTAGGACCGAGTGCTTTTACGAAACTCTTCCTTCGGATCTTTGGCCAGTCATCTATGCCGAGACCCTGGCCGCATTCCCAGCAAAGGCCCCCCTCACTCTTCTCTCCTCTGATTTTTGTCTCCCGCAGGGTTTGGGATGACCACTCCGGCCACGGTGGGAGGAAAAATCTTTCTGATCTTCTACGGCCTCATTGGGTGCGCGAGCACCATCCTGTTCTTCAACCTCTTCCTGGAGCGCCTCATCACCGTCATTGCCTACATCATGAAGTCGTGCCACCAGCGACGGCTGCGGAGACGAGGGGCCCTGTCCCGGGAGAGCCTGAAGCCCCCGGGCAGGTGCGAGGGGGCTAGCTCGGCCGGCTGGAAGCCCTCCGTGTACTACGTGATGCTGATCCTGTGCCTGGCCTCCCTGCTCATCTCCTGCTGCGCATCGGCCATGTACACCTCCGTCGAAGGCTGGAGCTACTTCGACTCACTCTACTTCTGCTTCGTGGCCTTCAGCACCATTGGCTTCGGGGACCTCGTCAGCAGCCAGAACGCCCAGTATGACAGCCAAGGCCTCTACCGCTTTGCCAACTTCATGTTCATCCTCATGGGCGTCTGCTGCATCTACTCCTTGTTCAATGTCATCTCCATCCTCATCAAACAGTCCGTGAACTGGATCCTGAGGAAAATGGATGGCGGGTGCTGCCGACGATGCCAAAGGAGGCTCCTGAGGTCCCGGAGGAACGTGGTCATGCCGGGCAACATCCAGGACCGGGGCAACATCTCCATAGACACGGATGGGGTGATGGACAGCGACACGGACGGGCGGCGTCTCTCGGGGGAGATGATCTCCATGAAGGACTTCTTGGCCGCCAACAAGGTCTCGCTGGCCATCCTCCAGAAGCAGCTGTCTGAGACGGCCAACGGCTGCCCGCCCCAGGCCAGCGCGCCGTCCCGGGACAACGAGTTCTCAGGGGGGGTGGGGGCCTTTGCCATAATGAACAACAGGTTGGCGGAGACCAGTGGGGACAGGTAGGAGCGAGGAGCGGCCGCTGGGCGTGGAGGCCAGGAGAGTGGGCGATGGGGGGATTGGCACCGGCTCAACTCTGTGCCGGGGCGTGTTCCCTCTGGAGTTGTCCTGTCACCCTCTGCAGGCCCAGCCTTAGAAAGCTCTTCTCCTCGGGCAGCCAGCCACCTTCTAGGGCTGCAGACCGAGGCCGGAGGCCCTTCTCCTTGTCTTTATTCTGTGAGGTCTGAATTCAGTCTTGAGAATAAATCCCGGAGGCAGCCTAAGACATTGCACAGTTGTCTTACTCCCCTTCCTCCAGGGCTTTAACTGCCTAAGGGAAGGGGGTTTAAGTGAGTCTCTATTTCCCTGCTGCTCTGGTCTTCGTTTGGAAATAAAAATCCTGAACGGAAATCCTCATTTTCCCCCCTGGAACCCTGAATGGCTGGACCCACTGCCCTTCCCAGCCCCTTCAGAAAAGGGGGGGGGGGATGCTTCAGAAGGTGCCTGGGCCGTGGGCTTCCTTCAGAGCAGATATGTCCACAGTGCGACGGATGGGGAAATCACCTGGTCTGCTCTCTGTGTCTGCTTCTCTGCGTTTTGTTTTTCCTTTCTTTTATTTTTAAGATCCTAATGCTGGGCTAAGGTGTCTGTGGGACCTCGGCATGGTAAGAAGAAAGCTTCAGGCCTTTAAACTGCAGCCAAGTAGTGGACAGGCTCTTTTTTTTTTTTTTTTTTTTGGCAGGGAAAGACTATAGGTTAACGTTCTTCCTTCCAGTGGTCACAGAGACCGTTTCATTTTTGTTTTTTTTGTTTTTTTTTTTTAACCAGGGCATGGAGCCCATCGGAAAGATAATGGCTGACTATTTATTAGAACTGAAAACTGAATAAATCCTCACTTTATTAACTAAGATTACATGAGTGCTCATTATGGACAGCGGGGCTGGGGGCAGTGCCTAGCTAAACAGGCATTTATTGTGCACAGTGAAAAAAGAAACAAGAAATTAACCCTTGGGGATATGAGCATCATCTTGGATTCTTGGCTAGAGAAACATTCTAGGCCAGATAAGGAATGGCTTCTCTTTGTGTAATTTGTTTCGGCTCTGCCTCCTGGGAGTGTAACAAGTCTAGTTACATAACCTCCTGAGCAGTTAAAACATCCGTGCTGGGAACAGGAACTCTGGATCTTCGTATATTCAGGAGAGAACATTTTGAGACCCAAGAGCAGCATTAATAAGAGATAGCTGTTATTTTTATAAGATGGGGATGGTGTACACGCGGCACTTTTAGAGACGATGAGGAAAGTCGGCATCGTAAAGACAATAAAGCCGAGAACGATACCCAGTGAAACTGAAATGTTGAGTGGAACTCATCAGAGCTGGGAGGACCTTAGGGACCATCCCATACACAAGAAAGAAACACAAGAAAGACACAGAGGCGTGAAGGGAATGCTCCCTATCCGAACTCTCAAGGCTGACAGCATACAGCTAGGAGAACCCAGGTGTCCTGATGGCGACGTCTGGGCTCATCACCCGTGCTCCCCACAGCTTTAGAACCTCCCTCAACTGCTCCCTCCTAAGCTGAGTTGCCTTTTCCTTCCAGCTGGCACCCTACCCCCCCCTTTTTTTTTTACAATGCTGAAAGTACTCAACGGCAGGAGTCCTATAAACAGCAGCCTGGGCTTCGAACTAAGGGCTGTGCGGCTCCAAAGTCAGAGATCTTCAAGTCTTACTTTGTGTTGCTCTCAAAGGAGGCATCCTGTAGCTACTGCAAAACCAAGCTCCCCGGGGGCTCTGCTCTGGGGGAAGGCACCATGGGCATGGGGAGAGGAGCTGGGTCCCTGCCCTAGGAGATTTCTTAATCACCACATGCCTGGGACGGGGACTGGCACAAAGCAGGTCCTTTCTTCTCCAGTCCAGTACAGTGACCTTCTGGGAAGATGACGCCTGCTGATACAAATGCTCCTTGGCCCCCTGGCACATGTCCCAGCCAGCGGGCCAAGGAGCATTTGTATCAGCAGGCGTCATCTTCCCAGAAGGTCACTGTACTTGGTGATCTTTGCAGAGAAATGTTATGTCAAAACGCATGGCTCTTTGTCAGTGGGATCCAAAACTGGAGTCAATTTTTGAGCTAAACACGAAAAAAACGTTTTTTGAACTTTTGAGGAGTTTCCGGAGGAGTCATCTCAGGGTCTTGGAGAATGCGTTTGTTTTGCTCTGGGTTGAGGTTCCTTGATGGAAACATCTGAGCACCGGCGGAAGGAGAGAAGTGTGGTACATTCACGATGGATGAGTGGGAATAACGTATGTCCCCAAAATGGCAAAACTAGGTGTCTCTGTAGTTACTCTTAGGCACGAATTGGTTCAACGAGGGAATTTCTAGGTATGAATGTAAAGCTGGAGTTCAAAATCTGGAGCCCACAAATCCTCTAACATTGTGGTGTAGGTACGGGCACACCTCAGAGGTGCGATGGGTGAGGTCCCAGACCACTGCAGTATGGTGAATATCGCAGTAAAGCCAGTCAGATCAACTTTTGGCCTCCCAGTGCAGATGGAAGTTATGGTTACCACGTACTATAGTATATTAAGTATGCGACGCATTGTGTCTTTTTGAAAGTACATCAATTTGTGGAGCCCGGGTGGCTCCGTCGGTTGGGTGTCCGACTTCGGCTCAGGTCACGATCTCACAGTCCGTGAGTTCGGGCCCCGCGTCGGGCTCTGTGCTGACAGCTCGGGGCCCGGAGCCTGCTTCGCAATCTGTGTCTCCTTCTCTCTCTGTCCCTTCCCCACTCACACTCTGTCTTGCTCTGTCTCTCAAAAATAAACGTTAAAAAAATTTTTTTTGAAAGTACGTCAATTTAGAAATACTTGACTGCTAAAAACCGCTGACCATCATCTGAGCTTTCATGAGTTGTAATCTTTTTGCTGCTGCAAGGTCTTGCCTCCGTGTCGACGGCGGCTGACTGAGAGGGGTGACGGTTGCTGAAGGTTGGGGGCGCTGTGACAATTTCCTAAAATAAGACAGCAATAAAGTTTGCTGCATGGGGTGACTCTTTCTTTCACGGATGTTTCTCCGTGGTGTGTGAGGCTGTTTGATAGCGTTTTACCCACAGTAGAACTTCTTTCCAAACTGGAGTCGAGCCTCTCGAACACTGCTGCTGCTTTATCAACTACATTTCTAAGTCCTTTGTTGTCATTTTAATAATCTTCACGGCATCTTCACCAGGAATAGAGTCCATCTGAAGAAACCACTTTCTTGGTTCATCCGTAATAAGCAACTCTTCATCCATTAATATTTCTTAAAGATTTTATTTTTTAAAGTGAAAAAGTTTTAATCTTTTTTTAATGTTTATTTATTTTTGAGAGAGGGACAGAGTGCGAGCAGGGGAAGGGCGGAGAGAGAGAGGGAGACACAGAATTCGAAGCAGCCTCCAGGCTCTGAGCTGTCAGCACAGAGCCCAGAGCGAGGCTAGAACTCATGAACCATGAGATCATGACCTGGGCTGAAGTCGGCCGCTTAACCAACCAGGTGCCCCAAGATTTTGTTTATTTTTAAGCAAACTCTATACCCGACGTGGGGCTTGAACTCGTGGCCCTGAGATCAAGAGTCACATGCTCCACTGACTGAGTCAGCCAGGTGCCCCTCATCCATTAGGTTTTTATCATGAGATTCCAGCAAATCAGTCCCATCTTCGGGCTCCGCTTCTAATTCTCGTTCTCTTGCTATTTCCACATCTGCAGTCAGAACACATACCACATCTATCCATAGAGTTCGCCATCTTACATGGGCGTGGTCTGTGGCACCCCGAGACAATTACAGTAGTAACTTCCAAGAGCGCTGATCACAGATCATCATTAAAAATCTACTAATGATGGAAAAGTTTGAAATATTGTGAAAATTGCCAAAATGTGACCCAGGGCCAGTGAGCAAACGCTGTTGGGACGATGGCGCTGACAGACGTGCTCGATGCAGGGTTGCCACAAACCTGTAATTTCTGAAAACCACAGTACCTGGGAAGAGCAGTGTGGCGCAATAAAATGAGGTGTGGCTGCACACGCAGGTGTGAGAGGCAGCACACACGTGTACATCCGTGGGTGTAATGAGCTTCATGGGTTTTTCTTCACATTTCCAAGGCGGTCCTTCCGTCCTCACTTAGAATGTTTATTGCTGTCTTCTCTTGTCACCTCTGTCCCCACTCTGCACGTCTCTAGCCTCCTCACTGATTCTCTCTGTCCCCTTCTCTCTGGACTGTGTCATGTGGCCTCGTCATCAGAAGTCATGCTCGGCTGCCCTGGCAGTTTACTGGCCAGGAGGAGAGTGACCGTCGGCAGAAGGTTGGCCTGGACGCCTCTGTCCGGGAACCCAGAGACTCCCCAAGGTGATGAAGGGACCCACTGACTCGACGTCCATGAAGCTCTCGGACTTCATCCGTGGCTGGGCTCGCAGCTAGCCTGTCCTCAGTTGTCTGTGGTGCTGTGATCGTGAACTGGCCTTTCATGGGAGGCCATGGACCCAAGACATGTGGTGTCTCAGGGGACCCTCATCCTACACTACTTACTTGCACAAGTTTTTCCATATTCCCGTACCACCTGAAGTAATATCTTCTTAATATTTTGATCAACTGTGTTTTGACCAGTTTTGTTTTAGGAACAAATTTGTCTCACTAAATGGAGGGCTCATATCACTTGTTATAAATAGAAAATACAGTCTTTGTAAAAATCAATAAAGTGAAGATAAAATTATCATTAGATTCTATCCAGATCCTGTATCCTAGCGAAGACTCAAACCCTGGGACCTTCTCCCTCGGTTAGAAGCGCAGATTGGCATGTGTGGGAGAGGTGTGAAAGATGCCAGCACCAGACAGACGTTGTGATGGAACGATGACTGGGAGACAATGGAAAAGGGGATAACTTCCTCATTCTGTGCTTCTGTGTGAATGCATCCCACCTCTGAGTGCCCCCAAAATCATTCCACATTCACCTAGATCATTGGTGCACATCCCACACTGGGGGCTACATAAAAGTAACAAAGTACATAGAGTGCCTGGGTGGCTCAGTCAGTTAAGCGTCCGACTTCGGCTCAGGTTATGATCTTGTGGTTTGTGGCTTTGAGCCCCGCATCAGGCTCTGTGCTGACAGCTCAGAGCCTGGAACCTGTTTCAGATTCTGTCTCCCTCTCTCTCTACCCCTCCCCTGCTTGTTCTGTCCCTCCCTCTCTCTCTCTCTCTCTCAAAAATAAATCAACATTAAAAACATTTTTTAATGAAATAAACATTTTTTTAATCTTAAAAATTTTGTATATAAAAAAAGTAACAAAGTGCAGTAGTTTCTGAGGTCAGGCTAGCCACCTGGGGAAGAATAGTTCTTGGGCTTGAACACCAGCCCACGAATACCAGTTCCAATGTGACACAGGGTGGGCAAGTCTCCCTGTGCCCCAGTTCTCCTGCACCTGTGATGTGCAAATGGTAAGAACATCAGATCAAACGGGGTGATGCTCAGAGCAGGGCTCTGTGGCCCCTAAGGAGCTGCCCAGGCAGCAGGCACTGGCTGTCCACATGCTGGGGGACTGGGGACGAGGGTGAGGAGGACATTAAATCCAACAGTGAAGGATTTTGTTTTGTTCCTGCCCCGACATCCAGTGCTTGCCACGCTGTGCTTTATTAGTGGTTCTCGGTTATTCAATGGCATCACTCTTGGTGATGGTTTTATATTAAACCAAAAGGCTACAATAACTTCATTTCTGTTCCACTGAGTCCTTTCACCTCAGGATTAGCTGAGTTAGCTTGTACAATTCGACATGGTAAAATGTTTGGGGAAAGCTATAGTATCTTGTATATTGCTAGAACTTCATGGCTTTTAAGGTTTATCCATCTACAATGGTAATATTTTTACCTTCATTATCACGTTGTGAA